AAGAGTGGTAAAGGAGGAATTTTTTTTTAAGGTTTAACTTTCAAGCTCTGTTATTATCAGCCTATTTATTATGCAGCATCGTCTTCAGTTCACTTTGCTTGTATTGTGACAACTTAGAAAGAGGTACATCTTCCTGGGAGGGTGGAAAGCCACTATTTGCGGTTAATTTTTTTTTTTTTATCGGGGTGACACTGGTTAACAAAAGGTGCAGGTTTCAGGTGCACAATTCTGCACACTGTATTGTGTGTTCACACTCCAAGTCAAGTCTCTGTCCATCACCATTTATCCTCCTCTCCTCCACCTCCCTCTCCCCCTGACAGTCACAACACTGTTGTCCATGTCCATGACACATGTGCAGTTTCAGTGCAGGCTGCAAGTTTGCTCTGTCTCACCAGTCCTGGTATTATCCTGTGACTGTGAGATGGACATTGGTTCTAATTCTTTACTTCGCACTGATCTGTGCTGTGTTCTTATGAGATTTTATCATTTTCCCCGTCTGTCTCACAGAAAAATGGGAGATCAACCCTTCAGAGCTGACCTTTATGAGGGAACTGGGGAGTGGGCTGTTTGGAGTGGTGAGGCTTGGCAAGTGGCGCGCTCAGTACAAAGTAGCGATCAAAGCTATTCGGGAAGGCGCGATGTGTGAGGAAGACTTTATAGAAGAAGCTAAAGTGATGATGTAAGTTACTGTGTTCTTTCCGGTTCCCCTTTTTGCATTAAAGTGTCCCCTCCCCAGCATGAGCCCCGATGGTTTCTTTTCCTGTAGTAACTGTGTGTGCGCATGACTTCCCTCCCAGGAAACTGACACACCCGAAGTTAGTGCAGCTGTATGGCGTATGCACCCAGCAGAAGCCAATTTACATCGTCACCGAGTTCATGGAGAGGGGCTGCCTTCTGAATTTCCTCCGACAGAGACAAGGGCATTTTAGTAGAGATGTGCTGCTGAGCATGTGTCAAGATGTGTGTGAAGGGATGGAGTACCTGGAGAGAAACAGCTTCATCCACAGAGATCTGGTAAATTATGAACTACCCAATTCCCCTTCATTGTCCAAATTCCTTTGTAACATGGGGTCCGCCAATGAGCAGTGATCTGTTAATACCCAATTTTTGTTCTCAACAATATTTCACTATTATTTTAAAACTTGGCAAGTTTAACGTGCCATAATTTTAACAGAAAGATCTTTTTAAAATCTAATATATATAATACACTAGAGCAGCGGTTCTCAACCTTCCTAATGCCACGACCCTTTAATACAGTTCCTCATGTTGTGGTGACCCCAATTTCATTGTTTCAAATTGAACATAATTAAAGCACAGTGATTAATCACAAAAACAATATGTAATTATATATGTGTTTTCCGATGGTCTTAGGCAACCCCTGTGAAAGGGTCATTCGACCCACAGGTTGAGAACCGCTGCACTAGAGGCCTGGTGCACGAATTCTTGCACGGGTGGGGTCCGGCTGGCCTGCCCCAGTGGGGGCTGATCGAGTTGGGCTGGGGATGAGGGAGGGGAGACGGGAGGTTGGCTGGCCAGCCTTGCCCCTGATTTGGGTGAGGGGGGCTGGCCAGGGGCAGGGGCCATGGGCAGTTGGCTGGCTGACTCTGTGGCTGTCTGCCTCTGCCCCTGATTGGGGGTGGGGAGACTTGTGGGGGAGAGGAGCCAGCCATTGGGAGGGGTTGTGGGTGGTTGGCCGGGGGCCCCCACCCTTGATCGAGGTGAGGGGGCCCGATCGGGGGTGGGGATGGCTGGGGGAAGGGGCTGTGGGAGGTTGGGGGAGGGGTGGGCTGAGTGGGGCCCAGATGGGGCCCGTTGGCCGCCACAGTGCACGTCATAGTAGCCAGTCGTTCTGGTCATTCTGCTGTTCCAGTTGCTGGGCTTTCATATATATATATAGATAATTACATAGGCAGTTGTATAAATAATACATAATGACATAGGTAATATGTCCCAGCAAGCTACCATGCATAGATTCTTTGATCTCCATAAGAATCTCATGAAACAGCTAATCATGATAGTGTTTCTGACCATCATTCTTTTATAGATAAGACAGTTAGCTTTAAGAGACATGAAAGGACTTGCAGATGGTGATAAATTAGGACTCATGTTTTAACTGAATACTAAGCTGTTTTCCACCTTACACACTATCGGTAGAAATGATATAACAGAAATCGTTGGTTTATTTTTTTTTAAACTCTCAAAAGATGGAACCCATGTTAATTCCTGAAAATACCAGAAAAAGTAAATCTTTTATTATTGGTTCTAAATGATTGTGATGGAGACACTTCTTAATTTTTACTCTCTCTTACTCATTTGCCCTCTCTGTCTCATTCTTTTCTTTCTCTTTTTCTTCTCTGCTTTTTCTCCCAAATGTGTCTATTGGTAGAACCACCAGTTCCCTAAAAGCACAATTTTATTCTCTGCTTTTTTTTTAGTTTTGACCTTTTTTAGATTCCACTTGTAAGTGATATCCAAGGCACCTGTCCATGCATTTTGTCACAAATACCAGGATATCTTTCTTTCTCATGGGCTGAATAATATTCATTATATATATACTGCATCTTTTTAAAAATCTACTCATTCATTGATGAACATTTGGGTTGTTTCCATATCTTGGCTAATGTGAATAATGCTGCAATAAACATGGGTGTTCATGTATCTCATCAAAATCTTGTTTTCATTTCTTTCTTTTTTTAATTAAATTTTTATTGTTCAGATTATTACAGTTGTAACCCCACCCCCCCCATTGCTCTCCTTCACCCAGTTCCCACCCCACCCCC